TCATTACATAAATATACATTGAATCCATTCTAATTAGCCTGCCGTTAATTTATTACTTTTATTTTCTATTTCAGGAGAATATTATGAACAGTTGAATGCTTACAAAATAAATATGGAATTTTGGATGTAGCTTGGAGAAAAATGGCCATAATGTAATGGTTCTTACTTCAGAACTTCCTTGAAATGATCTGCACATTCTTTGCATGGGTAAATTCGAGACAATATAGCCATCTGCATTTGTGAACCAATGGTTTTTCAATGCAAAAGAACCAAAAACTTCTGTAAATAGCAAAAAACTATAATAATAATAATAAAATAAAACTCTATGGGAATAAAAACAAGAGATTTTATGCAAAAATCAATAAGCTCAGTGCAAAAATCAGAGCACATGCAAAAAATCATGATAAGAAAAGATGAAATAATATATATGTATGTTGATCGCATTTCACTAAATATGTAGCCAGTGAACTATCCCCGTTATTTTTTGTGTTTCATTCAGTACAATACAGACTCAAATTGCACCAAAGTATGTATCACGAATGTTTCCCAAGGCACTAGTCATCTCCGGGAAATAACCACTACATAAGCTGCTTAGGAGAAAATTGGAATTCGCTTCACGGGAGTCGTACAACACAGTTGGAAGTCAGAGGGCCCATACTACTTACCCAACCTTCGCTCCTAGGCACCGTAGAGCAATAAGCACTTGTGAAAAACTCAGCATAAGGTAATGGCCCTATTGCTTTGCATGAACCTGCAGATTTGACCCTACCGACAACCGGAGCCAATCCCCTAGTGGTCTTGCCACCACGCCACAAGACGAGAGCTTGTGTAGAATAATTAGACCGACAAGTAACAATAAAATTTAATTTTGCATGTACAAAGCCTGACATAGCCATCACCAATTACTGAAGGCTTGTTGTTGATGTTGTTGTTGTTGTTGTATAAAAATGCATGATATAATTGGACAGACAAGTAACAATGTTAACATGATTGAAATATACAGCACAATCAAAACCTACCAAGTATAAATAGAAAAAAAAAATGGCCTATGTTAATTCCAAAGGATTGTTGCAGCAATAATTGCAACTTTATAAAGAAACTCTTAGTTTTTAAACACAAAATGATAAAAGAGATTCCAAGCTTCTAAAAAATCCAAGATTGACACAAACTGATTCCAGTAAGTCTTTCTAAGTTAAATATGCATTCTGCATTCAAGACCTTATGATGGTGGATATTTGCAGTATCAAAAGATATTTTCCCATTTTCCTCATTTCTCATTTCTACAAATCACATATCAACTTAAATAACTGTTTTACAGATTATATTATGATACTGCAAAACTAATCCCGACATTTCCAGCTTCAACAACAGCCATCAAATTTCTCTACATCTTTTAACCCCAATGCTGTACATAGGATGACAAAAATTCACTTGGTTAAATCACATTCAATAATTTAAATTTAACAGTGGGCATTTACATACATATCACCCAATTCTTATATATTTACGTATCTAACAACTAAACTTTCTTTCTTACATTTATACCACCCAAGCCTTAAAAACATTTGAAGCATTATCCACTTACATCAATGATAAAACTGCAGAATGGTGCAACAAATAAAATCATACCAGTTCTCTTACATCCCTCTTTTGTTGCCTAGTAGGACTGTCAGGAAACTGAGAAATTCAATAAAGAATTATTGAGTTAGTAATGCGCGGATTTGCACAAAATATGATGATTCAAAACATGCTCAAGCTTTCTGATACAACAAAGAAATAATCATGATAGGTTGATACCTTCGGCCTCACGTTTTTTTGAGTCCCATCAATGAATTAATGAAAGATTTGAGGTTGTTGTAAAGCAGATTAAGGGAGCTACTTGATAAAATTAAATAAAGAATAAGCATAAATTGCCAGGGTTGATGTGTAAAAGAAGAGTTTTTAGGGAAAAAAAACAAATACAAATGTGCTACTCAAGTTTGCTAAGGGGTTGTTTGATTTTTCAAGTATTTAGGATTCAATTGTGTTCTGAATGTAATCTAAACTCAAAGGATTTAAAGCATTTAGGAGTAAACTTTTGGCTTTTTGGGTTGCTGTAACGCAAGATTATGTAACACACTCAAGGATACCAAGCATCGAACACCAACACATTAAACTATAATAGAACCACAAGAACAAACATAAGAAGCACAAAAGAAAAGGACCAATTGTTGAGGCAAACAATCAAACACCTGGGCTGCAACCGTGTGCAGAAGTGTCCAAGTAGCCCTACCAAGTTCCTCTTTGGTCAGTGGAGCTGCAGTGATCTTCCTTTCGAGATCACTCTGCAAAACAAAGAAAAATCTAAACTTTTCTTACAATAGTAAAAGCTGGAGACAATAGCGTCGAAATTGATGTGGGAGAGCTGAGCGAC